ATATAATGTATTACTTTTCATATCATTGATATATATTTAAAGTATATGATATAAATAAAATACATAAAAGGTAAAAAAAAATAACATTTAATATTATTAATATAATATCCTTATAAATATATGAATATTATAATTATTAAATATAATACAGTATTTACAAAAATAAAAAAGTAGAATATGCCTTCTTTTTATAGTATTAATTAGTGTGTATATATATATATATATAATTAATACTAATGTCTATTAAATTTAATAAGTATAATATAACAATATAATGTATTATTTTAATAAATATAATACATATTAATATTTTTATAAATATTATATATAATTAACTTTACTAAATAGTAGTATATATTAAATGTATACTCTTCATATAGTTAATTTTTATGTCTGTTATTACAAAATAGTGAGAAGAACTTTGGTAATAGGGATTTTAGATTTTCATATAATATTAAAAAAAATGTATTATTAAATTATTAATCAGTACTCAAATCATATATACACATAATACATGTATGTATAAAAAAAAAATCATATATATAATATAGGTATGAGAAAAGAGGATGGTAGCTTTATCAGGAACCGCTGGTTCTCATAGTCTTTGAAAGCCAAGCTGAGAAGTGAAGTTAACGAGCAATGGCCACGCTTGCTTCTTCCTCATCCACTGTCCTCTTCTCTGCATCCTCTTCCAACCTCCTCCCATTCTCACATCCTTCTACTTCGCGCCTCTCTTTCTCTTCTTCCCTCCATCCTGCCTCCTCCTCTCTCTCAATTTCTCCCACCTTTCTTCCATACACTTCTTCAACTTCTGCAAACTTCGCCACTCATGCTGCCTTCAGCGTCACTGCCAGTGCCGCTGACAAGAAGAAGGTGCTCATCGTCAATACCAACAGCGGTGGCCACGCCGTCATCGGCTTTTACTTTGCGAAGGAGCTTCTTGCTGCTGGCCATGCTGTCACCATATTCACCGTTGGTGAACAAGGCTCCGACAAGATGAAGAAGCCTCCTTTTAATAGATTCTCAGTTAGTCATCTTTAGTTTAATTCCCTTTTCTATACATGTGGATGTTGTTGGATTTAGCTACTTGCATTGAATGAATGTTGTGAATTCCAATCATTATGTAATATGTTTTTTGATCCTCATGTCGGTCTACTTGGCCAGAGACTAATCTCGCTCGCATACCAGTTATGTCATGATTTAATTGTGTGATTTGGGAAACAATCAGGAAATTGTGAGTGCTGGAGGGCGCACAGTTTGGGGAGATCCTGCAGAAGTAGGGAGTATTGTTGGAGGGGAAGTGTTTGATGCGGTTTTGGACAACAATGGCAAGGATCTTGAGACTGTCAGGTTTGTTCTGTTAATTTTTCTGCACTTGTGTACAATACTTGACTTCTATGCCTTCTTGTTAAATTCAGTCAAAGTTTTTATAAAATAAAAAGACCACATATGGACAAAAAAAATTCTCATATGTTGACAAAATGATATAACATATAGAAAGAAAGAAAAATAATTATCTCAAAATTTATTTTAAGTCTCTTATAGTTAGGCCGGCCTGACTCCACTGGCATGCAACACATGCAATTTGCTTTAACTCCATGCTAGCATACTACATTCTTAGGATTCTGCTAAAGAAACACAAACTTAGACGTTAGCAGATGCAATATCTAAGACAGACATCATATAATATAATTATAAATGTTCACTTGTAGGCCGGTGATTGATTGGGCTAAGAGTTCAGGAGCAAAGCAATTCCTATTCATCAGTAGTGCTGGAATCTACAAACCAACAGATGAACCTCCGCATGTTGAAGGGGTATGTTGAATATTCTTATATTACTCCACAGTATTTGTAAAAACCACTATGCCAACAGCAGTTATGTAAAATTGAAGTGATAATGCACTGTGGTGTAGGATGTTGTTAACGCAAATGCTGGCCATGTTGAAGTGGAGAAATACATTGAAGAAACTTTTGGAAGTTGGGCAGTGTTCCGGCCACAGTACATGATTGGTTCTGGCAACAACAAAGACTGTGAGGAGTGGTTTTTTGATAGTAAGGGGAATTTCGTGAACAAACTTTATTATTAACCTTTAATACATATGAGGACTTGTTTCAATAACTACTCTTGTAATAAATGAATAAAACTGTGCATTGTGATTGATAGGGATTGTTAGGGATAGACCTGTGCCAATTCCTGGCTCGGGATTGCAATTGAGTAACATAGCTCATGTTAGGGACTTGTCCTCGATGCTTACTCTAGCTGTTGAGAAGCCAGAAGCTGCAAATCATAGCATTTTCAACTGCGTGAGCGACCGTGCAGTGACTCTCGACGGAATCGCCAAACTATGTGCTCAAGCTGCAGGGCGCCCCGTTAACATTGTGCATTATGATCCAAAAGCTGTTGGAGTTGATGCAAAGAAAGCTTTCCCTTTCCGCACCTATGTAAGTTACTAATACCCTATCTTCTCTTCAACTTTATTTTAGAACATGTTCACATAATGCACAGAAACGCCCTAATGCTAAGCACAGATCATTGAAGTGATTATGATTTGTTTTACATACTAAATAAACACACTACACATACCTAGTTATGAACTCTTGCAACAAAAGTACCTATTTACAATGTCTTGTTTAACACAAATCACTGAACGGATTAAGCTCATAGTTTGGCTCAACTCATCGAATTATGGGTCCTATCAAGCTTACGCGTATTGTACAAATATGGACTTGTTTTATGCTAACAATTTATACAATCCTCTTCGTGTTATGCAGCACTTCTATGCAGAACCTAGAGCAGCCAAAACTAAATTGGGATGGCAATCAACGACAAACCTCCCTGAAGACCTAAAAGAGCGGTTCGAGGAGTACGTAAAGATTGGGAGAGATAAGAAGCCCATCAAGTTCGAGCTTGATGATAAGATATTAGAGGCCTTGAAAGTTCCGGTGCCCGTGTGATCCATCATATCCAAAATGTATAAAACAATTATCAAACAAGATTGTTAGATTTCTTGTCCAAGTTCGAGCTTGATGATAAGATATTAGAGGCCTTGAAAGTTCCGGTGCCCGTGTGATCCATCATATCCAAAATGTATAAAACAATTATCAAACAAGATTGTTAGATTTCTTGTCGCTCAATTTAAATAATGTGCATTAAAGAAAGTTACTTCTCTCCTTATTAACATTAAACAAAACGAAACCAATGCTTTGCTTGGAGGATGAAAACCATGAAATATAAAACATCGGTCCAACACAACCAACTCAAATGCAAAATATAAGTAAAATTTCAAACAACGGGAGAAATTGTACAAAAAAATGACATGCCTCGTCGTTGGATAGTTTTATTAGAGGAGCCGAAACATGTTTTACTATTACAAGCCACATAAGCCAAAGTTGAGCATGGTGAGTAGCAGATCAATGCCAAGTGGATAACCTAAATAAACCAACTCGCGTCAAATTCTTCAATGGAAGAAATACACCTGGTAAAAATCCAAAACTAATTTCGTAACCAGTTGGTTCAAAGTTTTGTAGCATTGATTCTGATCAAATTGGTTTTAAATCAATGTGATTGAGATGCATATTTAAACAAGTCTCAATCATATTTTTATTAAGACTTTTTATTTTTTTTTATCGTGAGTGTGGAAGTTAACTTACTTTGAGAACACATTCAAACACGAACTTGCACTTGATCATTCCGTGTGCGCATTAATCGCATTACCTGTGTTGCTTAAAATAAGTACAAATTTCCAAAAGGAAAAAAGATATAAACAATTGAGATAGATTGAGCTATGGATAAAATCAGTAGTTATTCAGGGCAGCCAGCAGATTTTCAAAGCACCGATACAGTAACTACAGCAATAACTTTAAATACATTGCTTTCAATTGGTTTATGTTGTTTATAGCCTGCAAGGCACAACCACAAGAATATGATGCCAAAATATATTCAATAATCTGCATATGAATCAAATGCCAAAATATAGAAAAAGACAGCAGACAACCAGAATCAGAAAATAAAGTGCCAGCAAGGGCATAATAGAGCCCAAAAAATTCTGCAGCTAATACCATTTCTTGTTTGGCCAGATATATTAAGAGTGTATATCTGGTAAACTTTTAAATGTCAATCATGGAATAGAATATCTAAAATACAAAGATTAAAGCTAGCTATTGTGCCTGAAACAAGTACGACACGAAAAATATTAATAGGCCTACAAATAAATCTGAAGTTGCATGTTTGTTCCTATGAATCTTCCTAAATCCCGAGGCCCTTCAGTTTTGACTCCAATTCATTGTGATCAGCATCTTCTTCAGCCTCCTCGTCAGTATCTTCTCCACCAGGATTATTCTCATCAAGAGGACCCAGGATATCAGGTGAGTTTTTAAATATATTCTCCAACTCTTCAATCCCATCTTCAGAAATGAAGTTAGCATTAATGTTTAGCAACTTAAAACCTGGTTTTTGCACAACAGCTTCAGCCAACAGCCTAGCTCCTGACCATGTGATTGAGTTTGTGTTCAAATCGACTTCATTTAAGTGGCCGTGACCTCCTTCCAGTGCCTTGCTGATCAAAACTGCACCTTCATCCTTCAGTTCATTCTCAGACAAATTTAACTTGGTCAGGAATTGTTTTGATGATATACAGGCAGCCACAGAAGCAGCAGCTTTTGCAGTAATGTCATTCCCAGCCAAATCCAAAACTTCCAGTGATGGTGCAGATTCCTTAAGGGCATTAACAATGGCCTCTGCACCATCATCCTCCAAGTTCAAATAACTGAGGTATATCTCTGTAAGATCTGCAAATGCAGGAATAACTTTACTAAGAGCGACTCCAGCTTCTTCACCAAACATGTTGTCACGCAAGTCAAGCTTCCGCAAATGCTTACAAGCCCCAAGTGCTTCAGCAAGGGCAACTCCACCATCAGAGCCTACTCTAGTAGACGAGCACCGAAAATCTTCCAGAGCTGGGGAACGTTTCACAATTTCAGCAATAGCAACTGCTCCTTCATCTCCAGTCATATTATTATGGAACTGAAGAACCTTAAGTTTCTCAGTGGAAGGAAGCAATTCAGAAACTGCTTTTGCAGCTTCCTCTGATATACCATCATTCATCAAATAGAGCTCCTCCAAGTTATTTTGTGATTTTAGGAGTGACCGAAACGCTCTAACCCCCTTTTCACCCAAAGCGTTATTTGAGAGGTTCAGATACCTCAAAGCACAACCTTCCAGTGCTGACGAAAATATAGTCATCACTTCAAGAGCTTCCGCTTCTGGTCTTCCAGCAATAAAATCTGAAAGATCCACCTCTTTCAATTGATCCTTAACTGATATTAGGATGGGTTCAGTAACACGGGCAGCATCCAAGCCAAAACTTCTATTGCTGAAACATATCTTGGTATAAGAGTTCGGTGCCCTCAATGGTTTCAAAACTTCTGCAGCTTCCTCCCCACCAATAAAGTTTCTGGCACCCCCAGATATGTCAAAAACAGTTTCAGCAGTAGCACTAACCTTCTCAGATATCAACTCTCCATCCTCCTTCACTCTTGGACCCCTTTTCAAAACCTCCAACATAAGCTTGCTCGATTCCTTGGCATAGATTTGCACAGCAGAACTCCCGTCACCATCAGGCTCCTTCTCAAAATGTTGAGTTGCAGTAGCAAAAGCTACATCCTCAATTTGCTTTGCATCCTCCTCAGCCTCTTCTATGCTAAGCAGTCCATACTTTCTAGAGAAAATTGACGGAGTTGTAAGGTTCTTTGTCATCCGCTCTACAAGCATTAGCCTAGTACTCCGACTAGGAGGCCATAATTTGATCGTAAGGGGGCGATGTTGGTATGCCTGCCCTGTAGAATCCATATCAAGGCAACCTGGAAACAGGTGTAACAGCAATTTTACGGGCTTCCAACAAAACCATAAATCTCAATACAACCAGAAAACAATACAAGACAAAAACTTCTTACGGATGTTGATACTATGATATACTGTTGCGAAATTAAGTTATTACTGACCACGAAAAGTTAAGAAAAAACCTAAATATTAATAATCATTCACGACAGTCAACAACTACAGTATAAAATCCAAAAAAGTATATCACATGAAACACATCAACCTTGGGCACTTAAAATCAAAAGAGACATCAACATAAACGCCACAACATAGATAGCACGGACCTAAAATTTTACGGATCCGGTGCTTCAGAGACAAATGTTGCTTCAACGTCTGAAGCGAACATTCTCAACAACTACTGTTACTCGACCAGGACAAGAAACAGTGAGTGAAATTACACAGATCCAGTTCGAGGAGGGGGAAGCGCGTTAAAGAATGGGGAGAAATCCAAGTTCGTCTCCTTAAAATTTACTTAAACCAAACAGAACATCTAAGGCGCTGTGCCGTTAATTAAGAAAGCTAAAATGAAAATGGGCGAAAACCCTAAAACCCTAGAGAAAATAAAATCAAACCAACCTTATCCAGAACAAACAAGAAGCAGAGAGAAACGAGGAAACGGATTCAATACCTGAAATCTCGAGGAGAAACGGAGAAACCCTAGAGAGAGTGTGCAGCGGATAAGGAGAGGTTTTGGGTTTTTTTTTTTTTTTCTCCAGAAATTGGAGAAATTGTAAGAGGCTTTAGAGTGGTACTGCACTGGTATCGGTATGTGGTGGAGCGGGGAAAAATAAAAATAAAATTAATGCTGGGTCATATTTTCCATTAAAAAAAATACGGATATGGGAAGCGTGCATGTGGAAAAACTGGAGGGAAATGATGGGAAATGAAAACTGCAATGATTCAAACCAAACTTTTTTAAAATATGGCCATGGAATTGTAAAAACCCATGCGTGGCTTTTCCGCTTCCTCTCTCCACTTTATGTGCTGGAAGACCATCGTACCCTCGTCTCCCCGTTTTATTTACCTCTTTTTCTCGAACCCAAATTCTGGGTGTGAGGATTCATTTGGGCCTACCATGAGCCTTAGTGAATCTCCGTTGCATGGGCTTTGATTTTCAGTAAGGACGCAAAATCAGTTGTGGTTGCAAGTTTGCAACCCTCTTTTTAACACTACCTATTAATTGTTTTTTATCGAATTTTATATACAATTTTTTTTATGTGGTTTTTAAACTTGATACAATTGGTTTATAATACTCGTACAATTATGTAAAACGACACTTTCTGAAATTTAATTTCCACGACTCTTTTTTTTTTTTTTTTTTTTTACGCTCAAGAAGAAACAAGTTTCTAGAACTAATGACAACTTCTTTACATTGCTCACATCTTGATCTTGTAGACTTGTACATTGCTAAAGACAAACTTGGTCCAGAAAATTTCTTTTTCATTAAGCAAGACAAAATTGCTAACGTCTTCTGCCTTCAGGTGATTGAAAAACAATAATAATGACAAAAATAAAATAAACAAACAATATCTTTTTTGAAAATAGTACTTGTTTAAGAAAACAAAACAAATTGAAAAACCCCACTTGATACTATAATTCTGAATTAAGTTTTCAAAATTTATATTTAGAAATTAAATTTGGAAGTGATTTTTTTATATAGCTGTAGAATTTAAATTTTAAAAGTAAATGTCTATATCTTCAAAATTTAAATTCTGAAACGAGAGAATGTGAGATGAAAAAAAAATTGCAGCCAAGGCCCCTCTGTCTGCCCCCATTTAAATCTGCATATGATAAAAAAGAAGAAGAAAAATGTTAAATTAAATGTTGGAGATGTAAAATTAAAAAATTTAAGAATAAAAAATATAAAAATATTTTAGGCTTTATTTTTTTATTAAAAAAAGAAGAAGAAGAAAAGAGGTGGAGTTATAATATAAAAATAAATGAGGTGTATATATATGAGCCCAAAGAATAGTCACGAATGGAATGGGCCTCTTTCGGCCCAAATAATAGTCATGAATTGTATGGGCCTCTTTTGGCACATAAACAAGAACAGACTCTAATCGTTACAACCATTCATACAGTACAAGTCGCTCCCAAAATAGAACTACACATGTTACTATATTTTACAGCAACATATATTGAAATATTCAATTACGAGAGTCGCGTGTATTGTATTAACATTAGTATCTTATTCTATATGAGAATGGTGATTTCAGTGCGTTTGGGCTAGCTTTAAGCAATTTATTTGTTGTGGCACATTTAACTGGAAAACCACATCTTGTCGTTAGGAAAAAGAAAAGAAACTATATTCTGTATTTTGTTTCCCTTTTTAACTACCATATATCTAACTACACTTTTATTATTTAAATATTAGACGAAGTTGGTAGAAGATAATTTAGAAAGGCAAACAATCAAACATCAGTAGTATACGACGGATGAAACTTCAGCTCTTGGGTTCCCAAGTGTGCATGCGAAGCAGAAAACCAAGGTCCAACGTTGGTTCTTTAGGGCTTTTGCCTTTTAGCATGGATCAAATATGTGTGAATCTGTGTGGTAGATATTTGGTCTGAGTTTCATTCGTTCATGATAGTCACTACGATGATGCATCAACAATCCATCCATCGTGTTAGAAAAACAATCCAATATTATTTTATTTTATTCCTTTTTTTTTTATTATTAAAACTCTTATTTTCACTTCATTTCTCACGTTTGTTTTCTTTATCTTTACCTATTCTTATTCACTTTAACGTGAGAACATTAATTTTTCTCAAAAATGTTATATTTGGGTTGTCTTATTTTTACTATTTAAAACAAAATCTATCCAAATACTTTTTCCTTGATTTCAGAAAATCATGAAAAACTTATAGTCTTGAAAATGAGTGCAAGAAATTCTCAATTAGAAGTCTTTGATTTTTGACTTTTCGATCCTGAACTTCCAAATGTCAGGTGACTAGTATTGTAAAAGAAATTTCAATACCTAAGTTAATAAGTGTTTAGTGTATAATATATGTTATGTACACTATAAATGTCTGATACAGACATATTTATAAGTAAAAACTGTTAAGTTTGATTATTAAGCATATTCAATAACTTTTATTATTTTGTAAGGGTTGAACGTTACTCATTGTAATAATTATGAGAGAATACAACCTTGATTATGTTATCATTAGCAATACATCTTGATTGTCACTTCCAATGTCAATAATCCAATACACATTTCAAATCTTCAAACACTTCGTACTCATAAGTCAATATGTTATCAGGTCAAAACTGTTGGGAAAGAAAGCAGAAACATGTTAATAAAACC